ATTGTAGGATTACTTACCGAGTGTGTACCGTTCGACTACGCCGTTGCTTAAAGCTGGTTTTCATCGCGGAACAGCACATTAAACGGCGGCCGCGATTTCTAATAACGAATTTTTGGCAGAAAAATAACTTGACCTTTGGAGACATCATTAATATAAATAATTTTTATGGACGTTGAATAAGAAGTGTTTCTTTCACAAGAAATGTATAAAATTAGTGCTGTATTAGACTTACGGTACCTAATTTACATACTGTGCAGACGATAATAAACTCAACTTACTAGCCTAAAATCTCCGTAGCGTGTTGCCAGGCGGCAGAAAGCATATATATAATTATAATAAAGTTACAATAAATTAAGTTAATATATAATTATATATACAGTACCTAATTTATATATAATTAATATATAATTATATGTACAGTACCTAATTTATATATAATTTATATATAATACTAAACAGACGATAGCAAACTCAATTTAGCCGCTCCGTAGCGTGGCGCAGGGTCGGAGGAAAGTAGTTCGGCTGCTCATCCACTATTGGTCCAGACTCTATCAATCTTGTCGCGAAACGACGTTATAGGAGGTACTTTATACGAAAGTTTCTACAATTTTTTGTAGAAACTTTCGTATAAAATGAAAAGGGAATCAAAGAGGGGTAGATAGTTCCCATCTGTGCGAGATTTTTAACGGATAAGGGAAAAACAGAGGATGTACGGACTTCCCTTAAAGGAAGTAACATCTGTTATCTGCCTTTTCCCACGTTAAAACAGTATTTTTCTCACCAAAAATGAAGTAATATTTGATGACAATTTTTTTGTTCCTATAACGTAGTTTCTACGTTATAGGAACGTACGTTATAGGGGGTCGACTGTATTTCGAAAAGACATTTATTTTATGAAAAAATTTTCCATATATTAATAAGCTTCATGCCTGTATTATTTAACTATAAAAATACTTAGTTACTTATGATTAATTAACAGGCTTACTACACTCATAAACCATTTATTTGACTTATTCAACATGCATTTCGGCCACATTTGCTGTTAACATGAAACATAATCTTTGGTGATAATTGCCAAAATTTCAATGTACGTTAATATTACAAATTATTAGATGCACTTTTTCAAAAAAATTCTACATTACTGTGTAACTAGGACAGTAACACAACAATACTAAACAAGTCCATTAAAAACGAAGTTCAGTATTGTGTTACTGTCTACTAAAGCCGAAATATATTTTAATAAGTTAATTAATTAATCTGGGTATGTAACAAGCTTGTTCATTAGTCATAAGTAACGAAGTAATTTTTGTAATTAAATATTGATAATTTATCTGTTGAGATTTTTGTATCAAATTGTTTTTCTAAAAGTTGTTGTTAAACTTTGGTAAAAAAAATATATTAATGACCAAAATTAAAGAATTAGGTAGAAGTGTTGAAGAAACTGTTTTGAGGCTAACCATGATATGGCCATTCTTTCACACTTTCCGTTAAAGTCTTTAATAATAAATTTCGAAATAATTTTTTGCATATTTATTTCATTGAAAATAGAGACTTTAATATGAGACATCTCAAAAAGATATTTGAGATTAAAAAACCAAAAATTAACAATAGTTTTTTCACTGTCCGTTTAATACATCTTATTTAAAATTTTATTCGTCTAGCTTAGCCTATGTTGCATAGGGCTGTTACTTAAATGCGTAACTCAGTGCATAGGTGAAGGGAGGGCAAGATAGAAGGGGTGGGCAAGATGGAAAGCACTCGAATCTCCATGTACAGAGAGACACCCGGATATCTTGTATTTACGAACGGCGACTCAGACCGGTTGATGCCACCAAGTGACGTGTGCAAGTATTTCTTATTTAGCAGCAAATTATTACGCAGTCATTGGACTTTTGCAGTGTTATTATTTATACCTAGAAGGTAAGTATTACTATTTTGTTTTTATACAAAGTACCTATTAGGAATAGATTGAATGAATTGATATTTAAAAAGGGAAAAAATTCAATGATTTTTAAAGCGTTGATATTATTATTGGCAATGGGCATTTGGGCAAAATGGAAAATTGTATTTTAGGGCAAGATGGAATAGTTTCCATGTTTCCCGAGCGCAATTATTTTGATTTCTGTTTTCAATTTATCTAACTGAGAATGTAATTATTTTTAGATGGTGAACAGGTATATAAGAAAAAGCAACAGATGTTTTTGGACTGAAGAAACTGCAGATGGCGATGAATGAAAATTTTGTATATTATGTGGAGAACCATAAGTGGAACCGCTCACAGAGGACTAGGTACAGTGTCCAGTGTGCTGTGGTTGGGCACATGAACTATATACAAAAACAAAAAATGGATGTTTTACATGTAACAATTGTACAATGTAGGGATATCCTATGTATTCCATCTTGCCTTCAGGGTGAGGGCAACATGGAATTTTTTACGTTTTCACTTCATGATTCCTAACAGATTTTATACTTAATATTTATTGTTTTTAATTACACAATTTTTTAACCATCTAAATCTTTGTCGAGTCTGATTAAAAGAAAAGTTTTATATTATGTTATTTTATGTTTTTTTACATCATTAAGTTAAACCTTCCATCCTGCCCTCCCTTCCCCTATACATTTACTGCATAAAGACAACATTGAAAACGGCTACTTTTACGTCACGTAAGTAAGCTTTTCATAATTCTCCAGAAACTTCAATTATCGGTGGAAATATGAAATAATTTCTTTTAAACTATAAATTACGAAATAAACTTATACATAGTTTGTTTAAACATCCCCATTACTACATACAAAAGAATTTAATTATTTTCTTATAATAAAAATAAACAATTGTATACTATTATAAAACGAATAAATTGTAAGTAACATTTACGATTTTACTCTTACCTCTTTTACGACTTGAGGAAATAATGCCAAATTCCATTAAAGTTTCAACAAAAGTTGCAAGGACAACCCAACTTGAAAACAAACCGAAGAACGACCTGTAACAATTTTGCGTGAAAATATAATATAATAATAAGGTTTTAAATACAATTTTAAAACCTTATTATTGTATAACCTGAAAAACACATAAAAATAGTCGGTGTCTGCGGTATCGAATACTTATTTATTTTATTATAATTCAATATATTTTCGCGGTAAAACAATCTGTATATAACTTTATCTATAAATAATGACAGCATGATTTGGCAATTACTTGTAATTATCTTGATTTCCATCTGACAACTCAAGAGTTATCTCGGTTTAAAATTCAATGTCATCAACACAGACACTATATGCAAAATGTGGATTATTTGTTTATCGTAAATTTCAATTATTTATTGATCCAACAAATTCTTTTTCGTCTGAATGTTTTAGTAACATTATAAATAACGAGTTCGTTTTCTTTTTGTTATACGAGTTTTACGTATGTTAGTTTAATTTGGAAACAGTTTAATATAAATTAGTTTTATGTAATATTCTATTTTTGTTTGCTTTGTTTGTTTGTCGAAGTTTGCTTTACTTCGTTGAAATAAACATTATTGCAATGGAAATTCTCAATGATAATAGCCTTAGTAGTATAATAATGTATGTTCTACCCCAAAAATTTAAGGTCTTTAAAATTAAACGAATTTACCCAAAATCAATAGTAAAATTCACTGAATTTGAACAAAAAAATAACACCGATTAAATCTCGTTGATTCCAAGTGTTATTCATTTAAATTGATTTATTACAAAAAAGTAAATATAAAATAAGTCAAACAAACTCAATAATATGAGCTTTATACATATCCCCACAATCTTTCATACCCCTATATATAAATTTTAAATCGCTTATGTTGTCTAAATCCTTATCCATTATTTGTTGTATAAATCGTTCTGGGAGAAAAACTTGAAATTTATTCCTTTCTGTGTCCATGAAAACTACAAATTTTTTATTACCAAATCGTGTGGCTATTGATTTACAATAACTAATTGGATATTCGTAAACAATTTCCAACTCATTTAATTTCTTTGTCGATGTATTTTGAAGTTTAAGAATATTGTTTAGATTTTTTAAAGCCTTCATTTATATAGGAAAAAATTTAACAATCTTTCAATATGTAAAAATTTACCTTGTGGTGTACATAAAAATCTACCTTATGCTGTATCAACATAATTAAAGATATGTAAATGCCCCCTTCCATCCTTCCAAATATAATAAGATCTTACTTCTCTATCATAGTGAAGTAATACTAACTCAAGATAACTAATATAAATCTCCATTTATATAGGATTATTTATTACAAATTCTTGCCAACAATGAAACAACTATATTTTTATGATTATTTTCAATAAATTTGTTGGAGAATCTTTTGTTTAAAATAACATCACACCAATTAATTTTATTTTTATGTTTTATAATAAAATCTTCAGATAATTCTTGATGTTTAACTACTATTTTCCAGTCTAATACATTTAATCGATCTAAGTCTTTGAGTAATTGTTCCGATATGGTTTGATATCTTAAAAGTGAATTTAAATTTAATTTTAGAGCATATTTCCTAATAAACTCATTATCTAAATCTTGAAATTGAGATATATCTACCCAATCCACTTTATTTTCATATTCTTGAATAAATTCCGAAGAAAATGTTTGGTGTGTAAAAATGAGTTTCCAGTTAACCTTATGATCATGTTGTCTTATAAAATTTTCAGAGAGACTTTGATGTTCTGATATTTTTTCCAATTAACTCTATCTTTAAATTAATTACGGTAATAAAAAATTCAGACAATTTTTGATTATGAGATATTGAATTCCGATTAACTTTATCTTTAAATTCTCTTATGAAACGTTCAGATAACTTTTGATATAAAGAAATCAAATCCCAGTTAACTTCATCTTTAAAATCTCTTATTAAATCTTCTGTTAAATTCTCTCGTTTTGAAAAATTATCCCAATTGATAGCCCTCTTTATTCTTAAGTCCATTTATATAAGAAAAAATTTGTCCTAATGGTAATGTGTTAATTCCATCCTTCAATATATATATCTCTTATCATCATGTGGTGAGAACATTTTCTTGTTTACTTTTATTGAATAAAGTTGATGTTTCTTGTTTCTAATTAGATTCATTGTTCGGGAATGCTCTGTTTTATTAAACAAACAGTCTTTATAATCATCAAATGATATCCTATTTTTAACAACACATTTCTTTACTCCTTTTGATTTCTTTGTAACCTGATCTTCTACTTTTAAGGCATACATTTTTGCTCTTAAACCAACAAATTCTCTCATTATTTTTCCATTATTTTCATCCTCCATTTTACCTAACTCCTTCTTATTAACTCTCGGTATACCATATTGATTATTCTCGGGATAATCGGATGTATCAAAGTAATCGATCATTCTTTTCATATCTTGATAAATATCATCTATTTTTATATCATATATATAATTGTCCGTATCCTGAGATAACAGTTTTATGTTATCTCTGTATTTAGGTTTCATCACATTATAATGAAAATCATACATCAAATGCTTCGAAAGATCTAATATGCTCATTCCCACATAGATGGGTTTAATAAAGACTATTTTTTTCTTATACATGTGAATAGCACATAGGTTTTCAGTAAATATGGTTCGATGTTTAAAGTTCGGTTGTGCGATTAATTTTTCTACTTGTTCTGCTTTACAACATAATCTTATGTCAACACGATTTCTTATATCTTCCATTGTCTTACCATACAGAGAGTTGTTCGTTGATTTATAAAAGTATTTTTCGAAATCATTAGTTGCTTTTTTTCTCATTTCTGTATTCAGATTTATGTATTTCTTTATCCAATCTGATTGCTTGAATTCTAATACTCTATGTATCTTTTCGAGTTTCATTCCCATTTTTAAATATTGCTTAAGATTTCTATAATGAATCACATACTTCTTCTTATCATATAATGTGGTTAATAATTTAGATTGTTTTGATCCATCTGGTATTCTGTTCTCTGGAGCTAAAGGAAAATCAGAATGATAATCATGTAATTCTTTAGGATATTGCAAATTAACTTCTAATATATATCCTTTTTCATTATCATCAGGAATATTCATGAAGAAATCAATATTATTTTCCTCACACCATTTAAATCCTCCATATGGTAAATATTAACTCATGGCCCATCCATATAAGTTATTAGCATGTAGATACATCAAATAATTAGATTCCTTGTTTTTATCATAATCTTTCATATACTTGTTATTTGCCTTTCCATATCTCTTACAACATTGGGAGATTCCACCTCTTATTCCTTTTTCCAACATTAAAATCATATTATAATCAGTTAATAAATCTAATTTACAAATGTAAATTTGTCTCTGTAATCCAAAAACACGCTTTAGTAGACGTATCTTACAGCAATTTCTGGTTAGCAAATTATCTTTTATTTTTCATTGGACTACAAATATATTTCAGGTTGGTATAATGTACCCCAACCCCTCCTCAGTGCTAATTCAAATAAAACAAGAATTATTAAAACATGACAATGTTATATTATATGAAACAAACCAAATCACAAAAAACACTTACATTTTCTCATTATGTAAATTATAAAAATTGTTTCTTTTTTTTATTTCACAAATTAGGGAGTGGGAGGGCAAACCGTCCTCATCCTTAATCTATATTTTAACCTAAAATTGTGTATTTCATATTAATATACATCTAAAATTCAACAACTATAACTTCCAACAAACAAACTTTTATAATACCCACAATTATTTAAAATTCTTTACACGTAGGTGTATAACAGACGTAGTACAAAATTGTTAGCAAAAACCTAATTTACGTATGTAAAAACTTTTTGATACACAAACAATATCTTCTTTATACCAGTATCAAGATTAC